CAGGGCCCGAAGAAGCACTGCTTGTACAACATTCTGGTCACTCAGGGCAGAGCAGGCAGCTCAGGATGAGCCCTGCCAACAAGGGTCAGCAGGTTGGCTTCCCTGCAGGGACAAGGGAAGTGGGAGATGGGGCTTTAGAGGGTCTCGATCCCGTGGGGTTGGGCAAGGGCGTGGGGAGGAGCATGGAGCGATCAGGAGGGCGGGGAGGAGAGGGCTGGTACTGGGAAGCTGGTGTTCCCTGGCAGCAGGCACAGGGCTGGCACCTTCTCCTTCTCCTGGGTTTCTAGGCCCTAATTATTGCCCCAGAGAGCCTCCCGGCCAAAGACAGGGTGTGGGAGGAAGTGGCTGGACTTCATGTAGGCAGAAATCTTCTTCAGGCCCTGAGGGTGAGAAAGACAAGGTCCGGTTTGCTGCCTGTGAAGAAGCTAGTAAAAGCTCAAACTATAGCACAATATCATCAATATCACATGCAAGTAATTTTGCCTGAGATCATCCAACAACAGTTGTAGCAGTACATGGGCAGGGAGATACCAGAGGTTCATGGTGGATTTAGAAGGGGAACAAGGAAATTATTGCTGTTGTCAGATGGATCTTGGCTCAAAGCAGAGCATATTAGAAGGATGTTCGCTCGTGTTTTTCTGACTGTACCAAAGCTTATTCAACTATGTGCATTACAACAAACTATGGATAGCCTTGAGAAGAATGGGAATTCCAGAACACCTCATTGCGCTTACTTGGAACTTGTACATGGACCAAGAGGCAGTTGTGTGAATGGACCAAAGGACTCCTGCATGGTTTAACATCAGGATGGGTGTGTGTCAGGCTGTATCCCCTCACCATACTTATTAAATTTGTCTGCTGAGCAAATCATCAGAGAAGCGGGATTATATGGCACCAGGATCGGAGGAAGGTTTATTAACAACCCAAGATATGCAGGTGACACTACCTTGTTTGCTGACAGTGAGGATACTTGAAATACTTGCTGCTAGAGACCAAGGATTGCAGCCCTCAGTATGGGTTACAGCTCCAAGTACAGAAGATCCAAATCCCCACAACTCGACCCATAAGCAACATCGTGACAAATGGAGAGAAGGTTAACGTTGTCAAGGATTTTGTCTTGCTTGGAACTACAATCAATGCTCATGGAAGGAACTACAATCAATGCTCATGGAAGCAGCAGTCAAGAGATCCAAAGACGTGTTGCACTAGGTGAATCTGCTGCACACGACCTCTTTAGAGTACTGAAGATCAAGGGTGTTACTTTGAGGACTAAGGTGTGCCTGGCCCAAGCCATAGTATTCTCCATGGTATCATATGCATGTGAACGTTGGGCACTGAATAAGGAAGGATGGAGAAGAATAGATGCTTTGGAGTGTGGTGGTGGAGGATATTGAAAGTACAATGGATGGTTAAAAGGACAAATGGGTATGTTTTGAAGATGTAAGACCAGAGCGCTCCTTGGAGGCAAGAATGGTGAGACTTTGTCTTACATTCTTTGGACATGTGGTCATAAGAGCCCATCCCCTCCAGAAGGACACCATGTGTCATGGAGTAGAGGGACGCTGAAAGGAGGAAGCCCTTCAAGTAGATGGATTGACAGCGTGGCTGCGACAATGGGCTCTAGCATAGGCACACTTGTGAGGGTGACGCAGGGTGGGGCATAGGGCTGCTATGGGTCACAACTGACTTGATGGCAGCTAACAACAACAACAACAACAACTCATAGGTCACTATGAGTCT